CCGTTCTGTCTTGACTATTTGTGGTTGAAGTGCTTGGGTGTGCTCAATACATAAGCATGTGGACACAGAAACTGCATGACACCGAAATTATTCATATGTTTACAGTGAATAGTCAAGTTTCCACTGCAATCCACCAAGGTTGAAAATGGGCTTCTCTTCATTATTCTCCAAAGGACCTGTGGTCGTGCATCATGCTTGCAAAACTGCGCAGTTTTGCTATGTTCTAATATTGGTGTGTTCTTGCAGTGAGGTATTACGCTATCGTTCAGCGAATACTGCACGTTGGTTTACGTTCAAAAAAAGATCACAATTTTGGACCTGCGAGGGTTATGTCTAATGTATGGCATTTTTTTTTCAAAGCACCACTGGGAAGCAAGCCTCCTGGAATATCGGCCCCCCCCCCACTGCGGTCCCCGAAAAATATCTGCATGGAATGCTCATTTCTCGTCAATATTGGTTACAACTGTCAAAAGTAAGCGGTCTGTAATAGTGTATCTTGCTGCAAAATCTGCCAAAAACTGTGCACTTTTTTAACCCATCGTGCAAAAAGAGTTCATGAAAATAGTGTTCCTCTCAGCGCCGTATGGTACACGAATGGTTCACCTGGCCTGTAGAAATGACTATTTGGAATTTAGATGACTAAAAATAATAAAAATACTGTTTTTGCCCTGCCTTAATGTCAATGTATTACAATAATGTACCGAAATGCACGATGTTCACACGATACTACACGATTCCACACGATGCTAGCCGGCTTTGCACTGAATATTCGGCCACCTGTTTTTCTGCTGAACACAGGGTGTAGGTCTACCTTGTCACTCCCTCCGCCCATTGCGCCGCAAGTATCAATTACAATGAAAGGCCGTTTTTCTACCTGAGATGCCACAAATACCTGGACTATGGTCGTTTTTAAATGTTGCTTCCTGCGGATATCCACAACGCTCCAAGACGACGCTCACTTGCGATTGCACTTCCTGAACTCGATCCATCACGGTCTGAGCCCGCCGAAAAGCAGAAACACAACCCGTTTCCTCATGATGGGCATAAGCAAAGATGGAGCCAAATCACCATCGGCCCCACCCCACCCCAACCCCCAACCCCAGCCCCACCCCAACCCCTTTTGTTCAAGAAGCGAACTGCAACAGCAATAGATGGAAGTTGTCCAATAGATGTGGCTTAACTTGGCCGCGTTATCGACAAGGACGCGGGTCAGTTCGACAGACCCACAATGGGCGGAGGGTCTGCGGTTGGCGGCTCCACCATTGCGCAAAACGGATGGTGGAGGCTTTCAGCGCGACACCTGCGCGGCGATTGTCCTTCGGGCAGCGGCCCCAGGAAAGGCGTTGGCGGTCCATACCTGAAGCAGAGGTGAAGCCGAGTTGTGCTGCCCGCACCCTCCGCTGTTCGAACGGGGTCCGGCGGGCTTGGACTGGAAGCTGCGCTCCGAAGAGGCCCGGCGGATGCCTAGAGCTTGGGGCGGCAGCGGTTTCGACAGAGCTGGTCCGCTGAGGGGGCATCGTCCGACATTGGTATGGCTTTTGCGATGCCGCCAGGAACTACGGCACATTGAAAATATCGAATTTTAGGTCTCTTGGTGCCATCATGGTTTAAACCTAAATCAATTTCACCGAATCGCATGTTGTGCGACGCACTATCTATCCAATTGCTTCGGTTCCCAATCGCCAACTGGCGAGCACCTTATTTTGATACATTACCGTCTACAATCGGTTGCTGGCATTAGAAGTTAATAGATTCATAGACTTTGTTAGTGTTCAACGTCAGATTTCAGTGAACTGATCATAGACACTGCTTTGCTCTGGGAAATATGAATCTGATGGCTGCTTCATTCCCACCTTGTGTAAGAATATTCTTACATATTCATACAATTTTCTCACATATTCATACATTAATGTATGAATGACAGTCTGTCCAGTTGCTGGCCATCGTTAAGACGTTGGCAATCATATTCTAACGTTGGGACTGCGGAAATGGTCTATTCAGGGATGTGTATTGAAATGGCATGTGCTTGGGTGCAATCCATGAGACGCGGAGGGCCGATGAGACAAAGCGACCCCAGTCATCTGCAAGATGCAGAATGCTTGATTGAGGGACTGACGTGGAGTGTAATTTAGAATTATAAGAAAACCTTGGATGCTAGGAGCCTGCACATTTCCGGTCTGGCGATTATGGAGATCAGTAGCTTCATCATGCGCACTGTGTGCCGTGCTGTCGACATTCCAGAATAGCAAGTAACTCCGAGAGCTTTGGGATAGATTTGATTTGGACAGGTCCAAAGCACTGCTGTGCCCATGCAAATGATGGTCAGTACAATGTGTTGCAACATGCCCGGGATCTCCTTGCAAATTCGATTAATGCTTGTTACCGTTCCTCGACAAATTCAATAGGAGGATTTGGATTGCAATCTGGAGACCGCCGCGGTCGCTCGTGACAGTCTCGATTTCAACGTTTACGTTTTTGCGTTTACGTTTGCACATGTAAAAACGCAAATTTGCGAAAGGGCCTAATTTGCGGCTATTTTTACGTTTTTGCGGCTTGTTGGAACAACAAGGTAACACGATGAAAGTTGCATACAATGGTCAGTCCTCCACCATCTCCAGCATCCGCAACACAATGCCCACCTCACTTTTGGCAAGGGCAATGAGGGCAGGGAAAAAATCCGTTTATCATGTATATACGCATATATACGGAACTAGCCGCATTCAGTGCCCTGGTACTGGCATGTTCGATATGGTATCGAAATTCAATATCGATGATATAATATCGTGCTTCACAAACTGTCCATGTAGTCGTTGCCAGACGTCCTGTTACACATCTGCCAATGGAAAATCACTGGAAATTAACAAGAACAAGAGGTGATCAGATTACTGTACAGTTGTCTGGGAACCAGGCTACAATGTTCCAACAGGGTCTCCAGCGAACAGGAAATGCTGAGAACGGCATTGTCACAGACGTGCACAGCGCTCTTGCGTTCGATAATCATGTGCATGCTGTCCGGAACAAAGATAGGGATGCTGAGAGATCTTTCCATGAAAGCCAAATTACGGCAAACGAGCTCTGAATCCTGGAAAAGATAGCCACGCTTCTCAGCATTTTCTCGTGGAACAGTTTGTTCTCCCCTTTCTGCAGTTTCCACACACTAGGAGAAAAAGGGCCAAATAACACATGTTCAAATGTGTACAAAGTTTACGGGTTTGGCTTATTTTGTGTTCTTAGCCTGCAGAACTTTGATAAAATATGTTTTATGTGTCTTCGCAAAAGTGCTATTTGGCTCTTTTTTTCCTAGTGACAACGGCAGCTTGATCGAGCCATCGATGATCTCGAAACACCAGCGAGCGTCTCAGATAGACAGTAGCCGTTGTGCAATTATTCAGTGTAGTGCGCACTGCCACAATATGTCAAAAGAAGCGTGTTTACAAGGTGGCGATGTGAAAAAGGCTGGTTAAAGCGACAGCGGACGTTTTAGCGTGGTGTCTAGTCAATTAGATAATTGATCAATCAGTCAAAACAACAGGTGGCATTGCATATTTAGGTGACGGCGCAGCTGTCAGTTGCCTATTTCGTTCGTGGCTACAAGCGAAACGCTTAATGAAAGCAGTTATGTGAGCTGTTCACTGGGAATTCAACCGCAACCAACTTCTTTTTATATATCTAATAAAGCCCTTCATTGTTTGGAAACGACAGGCAAGTGGACTCATGATCTGTCAATAAACCCGAGAGATTTAAAGGGCTCTGACACTCTCTGAGGCATTTCCAAGACAGTCCAGGCGCCCAGAAGTGCATCGTTTTGCCATCAGCAAGGTGGCGCTCAAAAATCGAGCAGGTCAGTGCCAGACGGCGACATGCGTGCAGTGCAGAACTGCAACAGAAATGCAAGTCAGATACAGGTTGGCCTCCCAAACGCCGAGTGCACGGCAGAAAATTCCTCAGAAATGGAAGTATTTCTACCATCCACCTCCCAGATTGCCACAATCGTCAAGCACGATACCAGTATATGTTCAGCTGAACATATCAAGGAGGCAGCCGTCAGCGCCTTATTCTGCCTGAGAAAACCAGTGTACGTAATTTATTCATTCGTTTTTGGCATATTTGCTTGCATTCATTCACACATTCGGACTCCCGCCCATCCTAGAAACTGGTGGACAGGCCCGTGCTGCCACCCCAGCTGAAACGGGCGAGACGTTATGCCGCTGATTTGGGGACGTATGGAGTCGAGACACGCATGGCAAGTCCATCAAAACCCACCCCAAGCAACACGCTCAGAGCGCCCCCGTTCACACGACCATCCGTTAAATACAGGATCTGCTCACCTTCGGATGCCCTCGAGACCTACGGATGCTGTCAAGCACTAAAGACGAGATTCCAGCCACGTCAAACATCAAGGCCAACGTACCAATCTTATTTCAGTCAATCATATCAGTGCCACCAGCCGGAGACAAATAGTGTCTCAATTGCACCAAATCAAATGCGCACCAAACACCAGCCCAATTTCCAAGTCATCAACCAACGCATTCGAACAACTTCTTCCATCGGCCACACCAACCCCACGCCCCACATTTTCGCAGTTCACAGCCAGTGGCTGGGAGTGACAGTCTCGTGCATATTTCCTTGGTGCAGCCAACTTGGATGCGCATTGTGCGCATTCAAGTTGGCTGCCTCGACCCGTGCGCGGATCCCGCAGGGTCTAGTACTTTAGCCGCCAGGGCGTGCGGGAAGGGGAATCCTGCAGGTAGTAATCAGTGACTCCCGTTCGCCGCTGCCTGCTCCCAAACAGCCACCGTATCGAGAGGTGGGCGAGGCAGCCAACACCGACGCTCTCCCAGCACCACCCCAAGGCGGCTCCACGCCGGGAGGCGGCCACAGAGGCGGAAGGGCAAAGGGGGCAGGAGACAGTGGGCCAGAGAGGCAGTCGCGGCACCGCGAGGTTGCCTATCAGCCCAGCGACAACACTGGGCTTCCGCGGCGAGGGGCGCGGCAGCGGGATGCCCCTTCGGCGGCCACCTTCCACCCCGGGCCTGTCACGGCATCCCGGAGGCGCCGCCCGGTTTCCGGCGCGCCGAAATCTCGAGCGCCTTCCGCGCGGTCCGAGGGCGGCGTGCCGATCGGCGGACGGCCCAGGCGGGACAGCGCTCAATGGCGCGGCGCCCGGTGGATTGGGTTCCTCGATCGTGCCGATCGATCGACATGCCCGGGCTGCGCGCACGGGTGGATCGGCGGCGGGGGATGGGGATGGGGAGGCGGGCTGGGCGGCGGACGGCGCCCTGCCGGAGACACTGGCGCTGGGGGAGGCCGTGGGGCGGGGCACCTTCGGGCGCGTGCTGGCCGCGCGGTGTGCCGTGACCGGCGTGGAATACGCCGTCAAGGTGCTGAGGAAGAGGAGGGTGGGGTTCCCCTCGCACGTGATGAGGGCCAAGATTTTGAATGAGGTGGGCGGTGTGGCTGTGGGCGCGGAGCCAATGGCCCTCTGAGCTTCGAGGATTGAGCATTCCGAAATTGTCGGTCCAAGTGGTAGTCTTGCGGGAGGCGGGGGCGCCAATTGGCCCTGCGCGCGGGGCGGTCCAGTGACGGGGTCTTGAAGTCCATGGCGCTGGGTTTGAGTTCGGCTGTGGTCTTTTTGGTAGGTGTCGCTGTGGAAAGACGTGCAAGGCTGCGATGACGTTGTCCACCTCCACAAGTGCTACGAGGTAAGGGGCTGTTCGGCGAGTAACTATCTGGGCGCCGAGAGCAAGGGGGCCAGGCGACCCTTCTCTCACTGTACCTTAACTGAAGCACCGCTATGGAGTTGCTGTGTACTTGGGCGCGGCCCAGTGGCAGATTGTCCCGATTGTCCTAAATGCGATCGCCACAACGCCAGACGTCACCTCGCAGGTGCATAAGGTGTGTTTTGCCACTTTTGGACAAGTTGAGGCAATAGATTTGTGCACGCTGGGCAACAAAACTTTCTGCCCTGCGTTGGATGATGATGACATTGGGGTGTGCATATGCAGGACAACGACCACATGTACTTAGTGCAGGATTTTTGCGCGGGAGGCACTCTTGATGATGTCATGAAGGTGTGGAAGGCAGATGCCCTGGCATCTCTGGTGGTGGCTGCAAAAGTCCTCCCTGTAGCTCCCATGGACGGTTGCTGTGTTACTGTCTCTCCATGTTTGTATCAGCAACTCCCCACTGACCACTCCACACTGCTAATCATGTGATGCAATCTCCTTGTGTGTGGGGGCATATGGTGGGTTTGCTTTGTTTATCATGTACTTGAACGGATATTGGTCTGTGGTATTTGGCACTGCCCTTTGCCCATTCCATTCGCTTGTGTCACTGACCATGTGCACTGCATGATGTGCATTTTGTGCATGCTTTGTCTTGTACCTGGCAACAGCACCAAGCAAGTGGCTGTTGATTGGAAGTTAACAAGACTTGATCCCAACTGCTCCACCAATAGAGATAGGCGTTAATGCACACGACTTTGGGAGTTGCATGGAAAATACTTAGACACAGGCCATGTAAGAGTAGCGTGTCCAGCAAGAGTACCATGTCCAATCCTAACCTTGAGTCAGGAAGGAAAATGAGGGAAAGAGTGTGGAAGGGACAAAGCGCAGAGCAAGGCAGTCAGTCACAAAGATAAGAAACTGGACCAAAATATCAGAGATGCTCTCCTTGGATACTCTCCAGTCTCGAAAAGTAGGCCAAAACCAAACAGACGCATCATAGGAACACTGGATATCTGCAAAAGCCCCACTGCATTGCCCCACAGTTCGCCTCCAATGCGCAAGAGCCTATGTATCTCAGGTCAATTTTGCTTTCATCTCCCAGGCAAGACAGTGCCTTGGTGAGGCTGAGGCTGCCTTCACGATCACTGGCATCCTTCGAATGGTGCGCAAGTGCCATGCACAGCACATCGTCTATGGGGATGTGAAGCCTTCGAATTTTGTGGTGTGCCCATCATCGCCCTCAGCTGCTGTGGACGGGGAGCCTGGGGCTTGTGGTGTTGCTCTCAAGGCAGTTGATTTTGGCTCTGCCAAGAAGTTGGAGGCGGGAGCAGCAAGCATAATGGTTGAATGCGGATCGCCTCTTTATGCTGCACCGGAAGTTCACGAGCCGCCATATGGCCTTGAGTCGGATGTGTGGTCGATCGGGGTGCTGGTGAGTAGGTCTGTTTGGCAGTCGATGGTTATCTGGGCTTTAGCTCCTGCCATTGCATAACGAGAAAATACCAGTAGTTAAGGATTGGGGAAATCCTCACCATCGTGTGCTTGGGGCTTAGTGCTGCTGCAAAGAGAAAAGATCGCTGTATGACGAGCTTGGTGTGCAATGTGATACTCATTGCTGTGGGCATTTGTGTGCTTTGCCTAAAACCATGGACGGCAGGTGACATCTGTTTTGCCAGACGATGATGCACAAGATGGGGGGATACCAATCTATATGTGTGAGTTTGTTGTGTGACTATGCGGTGGCAATGTTTCTAGCTATATCTCCTGCACCTCAACAGCGGTTATTGTATGCTTGATCCATGCTGTTCACTTAAAATCTTCTTACTTGTTCTTGTCTTGACAGAAACCAGTTCTTGAAGCGCTGTGACCCTGGCATAGCAGAGATTGCTTGTGTGTGTCAGTGTTTCATAGTTGGGATGCAGATGTCTTGTATTATGTGCAACTGTCAGGTCACATGTGGCCTGAACACACTTCTGCTCTCTGCTTGTTGGGTTGCCAGCCATGCATGTGGTTGTACCCCAATTTTTTGTGTGGATGCCCAGCTATACCAGCTGCTGTCTGGGGAGCCACCATTCGTGAAGGCTGTTGCAAAGACCATGCGCGATCTTAACCCAACATCGTTGGCATATGCAATCACCTATGTCAAGGTACGGTGAAGCCATACTAACTGTCAGGTGCCTTTTTGCATTGCTATGAATTATGACTAAATTGAGGTGCTGATGGTTGGGCATGGATGTCTGGATGCAGCTCATATTTGGACCCCATTTTGGTAAGGTAATAACCCAGGGATTCCTGATATCCTGCTCAGAGTATGTGCTCAGGTGTGATAGACTGCCAGCTTGTGGCCAATACAGTTGCGACGGGGAAAATGAGAGTCTTGCGATTGTGATCATCCACACTGGTTGAGTCCCCTGTGAACTCTGGCTTCCTGTGTGTTTGTGATCGTTGTCGATCGACAATTGCAGTGCATGCGTTCCAGCTTGCGAGTTGTTGCCTTTTGCTTGTGGAGCTTGTGCATATGCAACCTGGCAGAGCGGTGGGGCTGGTTGCTGTGCTCTGCAGTGCAGGAGTTATTCACCCGTCTTTGGCATGTGGATCTGGGGACACTATCTGCTAGATGCCACAGTCTGATATGCATGGCATTTGCCAATGGTTAGTTAGCTTTCAACTGAATGTTCTGACGATAATTTGTTGTGCGTGAGATTGCAAGACGTGCAAGATGTGTAGTAATTGTCCAGCAGCCTCTGGAAGCACATGCACGTGTACACATCCAGTTGCCCTGTTGCCTGAATGTTGCTTTACCTTTGGCTGGGGTCCAGACTCCCCACCCAGCCACTCACTTCCCTGGTCTAGAAATAGCAGGGCTGTTTATGGACTGTTGCTGTTTCATTTCCAGAGTTAGGTTTGTTGGCATCCCCCCAACTTCCAGCACAAGCTAGACCAGGGAGGCAACATCTATCCCAAGCACATCGCATTGCCTGTGGACGTTTGTTTTCAAGATTTTGTGCAAGAGACAGTGTGTTGTGGATTGAGCAGCTGAACTTTGATGGCGACGTTTGGGAGCACATCTCTGGTGGTGCCAAGGACCTGATCTCCAAGATGCTGGAGCGCGATGTGCAAAAGAGGATCACGGCCGCGGATGCACTGCGTCACCCTTGGATTAAACTGCATGTTGGAGAGCCAGGAGCCAGCCAAGCAGGAGCAGTGTGTGGCAACATCGTCAGCAAGGAAGGTGGTGTACAGAAACGAACCGAAAGTGAGCGAGGGGCTTGAAGGGTGGGAGAAACGAAAGGAGAGAGTTGCTTCTGCTGCACATTCCTGGGGGTCACTTGTGGACGCATTGGGGGCCACAGTGGGTTAGGAGTCACGTAGAAAACGAAGTTGGAGATCGCCTTCAACAGTAGGAAAGGATTTTATGAGCTGCCTTACAGCTCTTCTCATCTTGAAATGGAAGATTGGGATTCTTTGGGACAAGTGCCCGCTTCGTGGGATGATGGGGACAGGTGTTTTCTGGTAAGTTTGCCTGTTGCTGGTGCGGTGAAGGGCAACCATTTGGGTGCCCCTCGCTTCGCTGGCAGCCTTCTCTTTAGCCTGAGGTCTGGGGCCTCCCCAACTGATTGTCAGTTGGAACAAATTTGCTGTTGTCCCTGAATAACTGGAACGGCGTTGGAGTGTGCGGCTTGGGTGCTTGCCTGGGTTCACCTCGAGGCTAAGGTGTACATAATTCGTCAAGCACAGTCGCATCGAGATTCGAGTGCTGGCACCTGCGTACTGAGCCGGTTTTGAAGTTGAGACGCTCGATTTGGTTCTTTGCTTTCTTTTATGTTTTTGGTCAACAATGGAGGCCATGCAATTGCAAGGGGCCCATCCTAATCCTGCACGCAAGTGGCGACTGCTGAACCTTGCATGCTCAGCAATGGCAGTTTGGATTGCATGCGGCAACGACACTGCATGGTAAGCAGGAGTGGGTGGATTGGAAACGATATTGCAATGGCCCGCTGAATAATCTATTCAATCGCTTGTGTGAACAAGTCAATCACTTGTGTGGACGAGTCAATCGCTTTTGTGGACAAGGGGACCGATGTGTTGTTCTTTGTGTGTGCTGTGTCTTACCATTTGTATGTTCTGTTGTATATGAAAGCATTGTCTTCTGGGTCGTTTGCGCTGCCTGCGTCACATGTGGTTCATGGCTGCCATGATTTTCACATGAAGATATCTTTGTGTTGATGTACATTGTAAAATGGCCATCGTTGCCCATGATGGTCTTGGGGCTGCAACCCAATAGCACTGTCACCATTGCCTCCAGCTTGTCGCGACCTGTTGAACTGATGCCAGTAATAATATCAAGCATTTTGTGCAGCCCATCAGGCCTTGGCGTTTTGAGGAATAAATCAATCATTTATATAGTCGATCAGTCGTTTCCAATCTATCGATTAAACGTCGGAGACCTAACTATATAGCTTTCAGCCAACAAGACTTGTGCCTACTGATTGTCGGTTGGAGTGTCGATGCTTCCTCTCCCACCTGTGTAATTCAATCTTCCCCTTCCAGCTCTCTCGTGGCCATGGCACATTTTAATGGGTCATGTATTGGTCATAGCACGGACCGTGACACGCACATCTTTGTTGTCAACTCCATGCTTAGGAAAACTCTTGTTCCCAGCTCTCTCGTGCACAGTGCTTCAGACCCTCACCCGCCCACATTCTTCCCTTCGTTCCTGGAAACAAAAACCGGCCGACACTGGGTGCCAGCTATTCGCCAAGATGGCGGGCAAGGCCGGGGCTTGGAGGACCGCCGGCGAAGGCGCCGTGCCGAGTCCCCCGCCCGGCGTCCAGCGCGACGGCCGCGCGGCCCCCTCCCCCCTCCCAGGCGCCATATCGAGTCAGCGCCGCTGCCCGCCGATCGCCCCGCGCGCCGCCCCGCCGGCCACGCTCGCCAGCGCCGCTGATGTCATCGCAGACGAGAAGGCGTTCATCCTCCAGACGTACGCCAGGCCGGATGTCGTGTTCGCCAGAGGGGAGGGCACGCGGCTGTACGACACGGAGGGGAGGGAGTACTTGGACTTCGCCGCGGGGATCGCGGTGAATGCCCTGGGCCACAGCCACCCGGGATGGGTGGAGGCGGTGGAGCGCCAGGCCGCCACGCTGGGCCATGTCAGCAACCTGTACCACACGAAGCCGCAGGTGGAGCTGGCCAGGGGACTGGTGAGCGCGTCGTTCGCGGACAAGGTGTTCTTCTGCAATTCGGGGACGGAGGCCAACGAGGCGGCGATCAAGTTCGCGAGAAAGTGGGCGCGCGTGGCGGCCGGCGTGGACCCGCAGGTGGGGGCTGCCTTGCTGGCGCTGTTTTTATCGGCTGACCGGCGCTTGCGCTGGCGGTGTTTGATTTTGTTGCATTGGGTTCGAACACAGTGCATCAGTACATTTCGGTGTCCAGGTGCTCCGTGTACGAACAAGATATGCGGGCCTAGTGACACCAAGCAGGGAAATGCAAGGCGATGTGTAGCCGCGGGGGACGCTTGCATCCAAGAGAATGCTATATCTCAAAGAAGAGAAGTTCGGCGCTCCGTGGTGGGGGTTGGGCGGGGGTATGGGGTTTGTATGTGGGGTTTGCTGGAAGTTCGGAAATCAAGGCGAATCGCATTGGTTTGTTGGCTTACTCTTATGACGAGGGCGTGGTGTTGCATGGCGGCCGTGGCTTCTTTTGCGGGGGTCGCTCACTGAGGCTATGGCAGTGGTGACTGGGGGTGATCAAACGGATAGGAAGGCTTCAAGTTGATGCCTGAAGCCCTTGATGTCGATTGGTTGGTGTTTGGATTTTTCCGTGGAAAACTGCCCCATAATGGATGCATTGGCATATGGCAGAGCCGCTGTGTGATTCAGGGCGCATTCAGAACCAGAGAGTAGCACCCTTTCGCCAATTTCATCTACACACTACAGAGATCTTCTATCATTGCACGCAGTCCTGGCAAGGAATGGAGACAGCGGCACAGCGATTGGTCAATAAAAATGGGCTATCCATACGCATTGGTTGTGCGTTGGTTGTGATGCACAGTTGGTTCCTGACAACCTGCTGTCGCACAAGTCAGTCCAGCAGTTTTGTGACATCCATTTTGTGGCTAACCTCCAGGATCCAGAGGCCAACGCGCCCAATGAGATCGTTTCTTTCTCCAACTCTTTCCACGGCAGGACGATGGGCGCACTGGCGATCACAGCAAAGGAGGTCTATCAGAACCCCTTCCTGCCCATGATGCCTGGACAGAAATTTGCCAAGTACCTGGACTTGGACTCTGCCACGGCAGCCATCCAGCAAGGCAAAACCTGTGCAGTGTTTGTGGAGCCTGTGCAGGGAGAGGGTGGCGTGAATCCGTCCACTGCAGCCTTCCTATCAGGGCTGAGGGACATATGCAATCGAGCAGGGGCCCTGCTCGTTTTTGATGAGATCCAGTGCGGCCTAGGACGGACTGGGAAACTTTGGTCCTACCAGAATTTTGATGTGGAGCCTGATATTATGACCCTTGCAAAGCCTCTTGCTGGTGGCCTTCCCATAGGTGCGGTTTTAATGAGACAGCAAGTGGCAGACGTCATGAAGCCTGGTGACCATGGATCCACGTTTGCTGGCAATCCCCTTGTGTGCAGTGCCGCAAATGTGGTTTTCAACACCATCAGCGACCCGTCTTTCCTGAGTGACGTACAGGCCAAGGGAGCACACCTGAAGCAAGGACTGATCAGCGCTCTGAATGAGAATCCACACGTTAGAGAAGTCCGTGGCATCGGGTTGATGCTGGGCGTTGAACTGGACTGCCCTGCAGGTCCTGTGGTGGCCAAGGCACTGCAAATGGGTTTGCTGGTGATCACAGCTGGGGGTGGGAATGTTGTACGACTGGTGCCGCCATTGGTGGTGACTTTCGAGGAGATTGACAGGTGTTGTGACATTCTTGTAGATGCCTTCAAAGCATTGGATTAGGCAGACTGGCCCTGCATGGGTGCGTGGGGGCGTCACAGCAAGCATGAAGGGACGCTGTGAACGAAATATACTCATCTTTCATGGCAGGTTGAGTGGGATAACGATATGGGCTGGTTGTGTGCCATTGTTGTTGTTACTATTTGTTGAGCCGCTGTCATGCAGTGTGCTCTGAAGCACAAGTATTATTTGGTAACATTTGATAAGAAGTGGCCATGCACTGCTTTGTCGACCCTATGGCCTTTGTTCCTGGAACGTTTGGTGCACGGATGTGCACCAGTGGCAGGCCTGCCACACTCTGAACAACATGCACATTCATGGAAAGAGAGGGTGGGATAATGGCTGCTGAAGATGAGTACTGGCTCCGGGCTAGCTGTATCGATCGAATGGGGCGACGGAAACTTGGACTGCCCCGCCCTGTTCGTGATGATGGAAAACCCCCGTCCCTGCCCGTTCTATCCGTGCTCCAGCCATCTTTCAAAAGGGCATCTATCCCAGTGCCAGCTGCAGTGCGAACCTCGAGCATGTTGCAAACCGGATTGCCTGCTCCTGATGAATGTCATCCTTGAACCGTCTCAGGATCACCATAGCCTTCAAAATTTCATATTCAACAAGAGCAGCAGGTTGGTGCTTTCACGGTCTTGAGATGTGCTGATCATGCATTTGGCATACATTTTGGAAGTGGCGTCATACACGAGACAGGTCCAACATCTCATACTGGCACGCGTCCATCCTAGCCATCACCATTTGCAGTCGCGACGCCTGAGCCGCTTTGGCGGATCATTGAATTGGGCGTAGGGTCGCGAGGCTGAGCGAGGATGCTGGTCATCTGGGATGTGAAATCTGTGGATTTCACAAGCCCGTATAGTCACCTGTGCGATGAATGCAAGGAAATTTTGGGAAATGTTTGCAGTTCTGCTGCAAGTTTCCAATATTGGTAGGCACACAACGTCGATTTTGGTACACTTGGCGTCAATTTGACATTAGGCTCTTCTTACCCCCCACTCCCCTTTGTCGGGAGTTGAGTATCGGGTGGCTGGGTCTTGGGTGCATGGGCAGGTCTTTGGAGGCCTTACTTTACACTTGACATTCCACACATTCTCCACCTTCCATACGGGCCCCCTCAGTGCATGTGTTTCTTGCCCATGATGTGCATGTGTTGTGTGCTCATCTTTGCATCAGAGGCTCTATATCATTTTTTCACATAATGGAGAAGAGCCTCGCATCCACTCGCCTAGGAGGGGGTATCTTTTGTATGGCCTGTTTGTCATTTTGTAACAAACCTTACCCCCTGCCCCCCCTTTCTTATCGTCAATCCCTATGTCTATTTCAGAATGACTCAACACAACCTTAAGGGGTTTCTAAGGCGCACAAGCAGCCAGAATTTGCAGTGATTACAACGACTTGGGAAACGGGATGCTAAAAGCCATTGTGGGCGATGCGGGCAGCCCCGATGGCTGTCAGTTGTGGCATTCTGAGGCCTTCCTTCAAGCTTAAGCTCTTGAGGGAGGTTTCAACAAGTGATGAGCTGTATGCCTCTGATCAGCGGCGTTTTTGCGCATTTTACCTCCTTGTGTCGATTTTGTTGTAATTACATAATCTCAGCGTCACAGGTACCCCCCTCCCCACCCTTCGATGTCCTTCTACGGCGCATGCCGATGTGATTTTCCAGGGAAATGGTTCTGGCCACGGCATTGCCGTGTTGCCATAGTTTTGTGCCCCATAATTTCTGCCTTACCGGTCTCCTGAGCCCACCCGTTCATGTACTCCCCCATGCCAAAACACTTAAAACATCACAATCACCAGCGTATTGTACCCGAGGTTCCCATCCGTAAGGTTGGCCTGCGCTTCGCTAGTACTTAATGCCACTCAGGGAGTGACGGCACCCCATGAGTCAGTCCCCTAATCCCGTACTTCATTCACTCCACTCCCTCTCCATCCCACAACTAAACCAAACACCACTTTCTAGGGCGGGAGGGCCGGCTGGAAAACAAGATAAGGAGGGACACCGAGAGGGGAGCCTAAATAGCCGCCCCCGCTCAGCCCCGCCAAAGCCCGCCAAACCCGCGGGCGCCGAGGTTGGCGACACCTCGTATTTTCGTACTTTGGCTGACCCACATACTATGGTGGTCAGCAAATCCCAAGGGACGGGGGCTGAGTGAGCCCCAGGTTCAAATTGCGCCTTTGAATCACCCGGCGCAGCCCACCCGTCGTCTCCCTTGGCAGAAACCCATTAACAAGATAATTAATTTCATTTCCAAGCCTTTTAGACACTTTTGCCCATGTTGGTGGACATGGTTTGAGTAGCCTACAATACAATAAAGTGTATCGTGGTGGCAGTGCAACCTGAGATACCATGTCAATGTAACAGAGTTGGCCGGCAAACGAGCAGTCAACTGCTGTGATATGTGTCGCAGTTTGAGTGCCAATTAATGCTTGACGTGATACAAAATGGTGAACCGAATGCGGCAGGCTACAAGTTTAAGAAATATGGTTTTGGAGTTTAGGGTTGTGTACTTCGATACTCCAGGTTACTCTTCAACATATCCATTGAAATTGATGCCAATTTAATTGTATTGAGTGTATGTAGTAATATTATACCGTATAGTAATTGACGTCAATTTTTCAATTATTGAAAGTATTATACTTTCTAATACAAAATGCAGTATATTTTCCAAAAATAATCTGTTTGGCTGGGGATTCAAGTTGTTAGGCACGGGGCTGAATGGGCCGCAATGGGAAAGCGGGGTTGGCTGCTTTCTTCCTAGTCATTGAAGTAGTAAACTGACACTAAAGTTCTGCTATGTTGAGGTGCATAGCAAAGTACGACAGCATAGCGATACCCTTTTGATATCAATGTGTGCTCAAGCGGTCGCTGGACGGCGTTGAACAAGCCAGACTTTGCATCCTACCTCTAATCTTGCGGAGCAATTTGAAGGTGCAGTCGTGTGCGCAGGGAATATGCACAGTGCAACAGAACGGTCTTCAACGTAGCAGATATACGAACCATGGATTCCTGATCTCCACATGTGTCATCGGCCTGTAGAAATGCAGAGAAGTTCGGCGGAAGCTATTTACATAAACTTACGTCATTCAACATATGCCCCTCCCGGTCGCTGGTGTCTCCATGCACCATCATGCATCCCGGCATTTCGCCACCCTCAAAGAGGCTCACATCCTGCAAGAGCCGGCCATGTGTCCGGCTCCAAAGTGGTCAACAAATGCACGATCACGCCGTCCAGCATAGACTCTGGCAGGCGCCCCAGCTGCTCAGCCAGGCGCTCCAGCGCCTCTTGACCCACATCCTCTGGGTCTCTCTCTCCCCCACATTCTGGCCCACGCATTTCACAGTCAGGTTCGATGATCGATCCCAGTGCTTCATGCCGATCCTTTGACCGCGAGCACCTTCCCTGTGTTGCGCTCTCCTGCGGCTCTTTAGACGCCGCCCCACATGCATCTCCTGACACCCTGGCAGCCAGAGGGGATGGACGTGGCGTCTCACAAGCCGCGGCCACGTCCCTATGCCCCTCACCGTCCCCATGCAACCCACTTTTCTCCTCCCCTTTCCCACCCACGTCCCTTGACAAATTCCCACTTTTCATTCCAGTGCGCCGCGCCTGCCCTTCAACGCCGCTGCTCGCGCTGCTCTGAATCGCTGAGTACGTTGAGCAGCAGTCCCCCTCGGAAGATGAGGAGCACTCGGCGGACTCCAGAGACTCCATGAAAGATGGCGTCGTCGCCTGAGTGCGTCCCTGGGCAGTCTCGGTCGCGGAGGACCCACCAGGCGATGCGACCATCTCGATTTTCTGGGATCTGCTGCGAGGAGTGTTTTCGCTCAGGTTGGCGGGGATATCTACGCCAGCCTGAGGCAGGTCGGTGTAGGGAGGTTCGGGGTGGTACACCTGCGCGCGTGGGAGAATGTTGTAACTAACACGGAAAAGTAGAGTAATGCAAAAGTAACGTATCGTGCAGTACGGCCGTGGTGATTTGAAACTGCCTTCTTTCGCAGGGCGCCCACGTGTTTGTCGTGTCATCCGCAGCTGAAAAAACGCCACCTTGTTCTGAACAACCCGGCTGCCCCTCCTGCTTGCCGGTGTGTCATGCCAATGCTTCCATCACCGTTGACTTCAAACATTCCGCATAGTAACGTAACGCTTGGACTTTTCTTGCGGAGCAACATGAAGAATATATACAAAGTTCTGAAAAGAAAAATGTGGATCAAAAAGCGTGACGGTAAAATACGTTGATGCGGAAGGGCTGAATTATCTATGGTAACCATGCCTCTGTACCTATCCCCCCACGCTACCCGAGTGCGTGCAGGGGAACGAGAGCAAGCATCGTGGCGCAGCCGGCCAGCCGGTGAGAAGATCCTCTTGGACAGTTCCGCCAGCACACTGATAGAGCGATGCCTCATCCGCAGGTGCAACAGGACCACGAGCAGCATTTCATGGCTATAATCATTCTGCCACGGGAGGCCAAAAAAATAACGGACAGAAATAGTTCGTATTAGATTAGGGCTATTACGTCCACAACATTGTAAGCGGGAGCTTATAAATTGCGTTTCTCGAGAGTCCATGGCGAAAAAGGCCGTTGCGCCTTAAAATCTTTGATAGATGCAGAAGCGCTCGGTCAAATCCGCGGGTCATTTGCCTCACATAGTATCCAAACGCGCAGCGTGAAAGAGCGGGAAGACTGCTAAGCCTGCAACAACATGTGCTGCTATCTATGCCATCCAAATGTTCTTTAAGTGATGTCGTTCTCGCCTGTGCATCTGCGATCAACGCCTCTGCCCGCTGCAGAACACGTCAGGTCTGCTTTCGGCTGCTGTCGCGATTCTGGGTTCTTACGAAACATTGGGCCAGCAGCAAGTTTCTGTGGAAAGTTGTTGCTAAATTGAGTCAGCACCTCCTCCACTCCGCCCAATCTAATCCAGCCCCCGTCTTGATATTCGGGGAAAAGACTGTACAAAAAAGCACTCATCACGCAAAACTGTTTGTTGCCGAGGCGCAGTGAGAAGAGCCACGCACCAACTGTCCAAGTTACGCGGCAACTGCTCCCCCACACGCTGTGTCTGTACCATTCCCGGGTTACTTGCCACCGACAACGCATTGACTTGCGCCTCACCACCCTTTCGTCAGCAACAGGTGGTGGCAGCGTAATCCAAACTAGCTCGTTTTTAGTCTCCGGCCACCATCAATTGCGTATTCCACTCGCTCATGGTTCTTTCCAGCAGGTCAAAGATGAGTTGCCCAAGGTGACTCGCTGTGCGGGACGTTGCATCCTTACGGGAGCCCACTGCTCTGGAACAATCCCATATCTGACAATGCACCCAGCACGACGTTTTGGGAACAAAAGGAACGTGCCGGCCGTGGAAAACGCTGTTTCACGTGGCAAGACAGCCCGTGGACAATGATTGTCCATGATGCAGCTGCTTTGCATGTTGGAATCACACCTGTTGTGCACAACAGCCCGCTCTTTCACTGAACCTCAGCGCAGATTTCGGCATAGAAGCTGCGTGTGCAGTGCAACCGACCACCACAAGGGTGCGATCAAGTGTCCACCCACAGGATTGCTGCCGTACACATACCACAGGCGTGAGTGTATCATCATCTTCCTCGTCATCTTCGTCTGCCGCCCTGTGCTTCTTGCCCACCACCAAACAGCCCTTGAATTGGCGCCCTCCTCTTTTCACATAAAAGCTTGGCCTGTGTACGGGAAGGGGCCTAAAATTCAGGCAGAGTTCCGGGTGTGTTGGCACGCGATGCCTGGTGTGCACTATGGGGCAATCGTCCATGGTTCGCCCAATAGCTATTTAGGGCTGGCATGTCCTATCATGGCCCTGGGAATGTGGGGTCCATCCTATCCGATGGACAGCTGTACAGGAGCGGAATGGCCATAGGCTTAATGCAAATGAGTTGAATGGCACACCGATGGTGCACTGGGCAAAGTAGCTCCCTGCTTCCCAACACCAGTAAGGGAAAGGAGCAGAATCAAGGTGCAGGTGATGCTTGAACTCAGAGACTGGCTGTCCTTGCTGATTTCATCACACCTCCTAAGGAAGAAAGACGACTTGGACCTGTCCACTACTGATTCAGGTGGGCTTTTCTGTCTTTGCAGAGTCGAAGTGGCTGAATTGTCTTTCCTTCGCATATCCTTGCAGCTCCTGCAGTGTACACGAGGTGAGTATCGAAACCTGTACGGCCCAATTCTGGAGTTGTGGGTAGTTATTCTTCCACATTGCTTCCGTTGCAAGGGTTCCGTGCAGCCGCCCTTCAGCATCCTTACCTTGATCTCAATGGTGCGGCCTTCTTGCCAAGTGAGCCTTCACTTGCAGATCTTTTCAGCTGCGGGCTGCTGATGTTCAGCTGGACTTGTGGCTGGGGAGTCGAGGGCTGTCTCCTTTCTACTCTAGCAGGATGAGCCCCTGTGGAATAGTCTGACTGGCATCCGGCATCCGAATGTCCAGGTTGCTGAAGTGCGCCTAGATTTCTAGCGTTCTGCGCTGGCGAAACTGCTATGGGGATGCTCCAGTTGGGGTACCTCATATTCGAAGTGCACAGATGTCCCCATGCAGGCTGGCCATTCCCATGCACAGCTGGGTACAAGACGTGCCCAGACATGGCTTGTGCTGTCGGTAGCTGCCATGCTGCACCACCATGCTGCTGGGCCAGCATTCCATAACTTCCGTACGCCGATGGCCTCCCGATGGCCGATGATGGCATCGTTCCCTGAGTGTAAGCAGCTGTTGAGCGAAAACCTATGGGCTGCATCATGCCATATGGCATTTTGAGCTTTTCAAGCGTCTGGCAAGACCCCGTTTGGAGGCAGTGTTGGGCTTGAGGATGCATGACAGGCATCCCTCCGCTGGACTGGGACACTGACGTTGACACATCCGTTGGCGTCGATGGCAAGGTTTGTTCCATCTGCTCTGAATCGTCCATCTCCGTATCATTTTCGTCTGACACACTCGATTGACATTCCTGGCCAGAACCACAGGATGGTCCAGAGTCTGACGTTTCTTGTGAGCCTCTGAGGCTCCTTGGCTCCTCTCCACTACTTTGAGAGTTCGAACATGCTGTGCTGCTGTCCTGTTGAGATCTTCTGCTTGAGTCCTCATCACTGGCGCGTTGCCTCAGAGACTTGCACACACACCTTGAATCAGAAGAAGGCAAGTGAACAGGACTTTGCCTGAGCACACACGCAACCAAGGGCGTCCCAGCCCTTATCACATTTCTCCACACTTGACAGCTGAGTGAAAAAACCCAAGACCAGTTCAAGCATGCCCAGATATGATGCATGAGGCTCTGTCGCGTTCTTCACTTGCCGTGGGCAAGCGTCTGTTGTGCTGACACTGAACGAGTCAATTTAATGCCAAGAAGATGAAATACTATTCGAGCTGAATTGCACTAAGATAACACGCCACTTGATGGACAAACAGGTCGATGAATTGTCCACAGTTCTCCAGTTTAGAGCCTAGGCACATCGGGGCAGTGTCACCACGCCTGTGAGGAGAGCATACGCGCTGCCCGCGTTCTCACGGTGCGCTAGGGTCACATCACTGGTGTTATATAAGGGCTGAGGCAGGAAAGCGAACTCTACCCGTGAAGGTGTGTGCGCTCAAAAACCACGCAAAGGCAACATGACAGCCCATGTGGGCGGGTACACTCACTGGATCACTGTGCGGAGGATTGATCTCTGCTGACGAGCCGGCAGCGATGGTGGAGAAGGCGCGCGCGACGCGCTGCAACAGCAGCAGTCGTCGAATTCCGCTCCTGCACACAGATCCTACGGGCGTAAAAAAATGGCCGATTGCCTACCCCCTCTTGCGCGCAGCAGGCCCAAAGGGTCCAGGCGCCGCCCCCATCGCGCGCAGGAGAGCGAGCCGGGCTCACTCCTGGGTCCCCTTCACCTGATTCGCTCCCCTGGAGTGCCCCTGCCGGAATTCTGGCCCTGGCCCTGGCGGCTCGCCAGAGGCCTGGCACAGCAAAAGCAGCGCGTCAGACAGGCCGAACCAACGCCGAGGTACGGGAAGGGAGAGTGTCAGGCCGCAAAAAGGCGGGGGGCTGGCAGCGGGGAGGCGCCTGTTCGCGGCAGCCCCACCCGGTGGTGCCCTCGTCTGTTGTCCCCACCTTCGGCCATCCACCTCCGCCTCCAGCAACTCCCCCGACACCGGGTCGAACAGGTCGTAGCTCATGCGGCGCGATCGGCGGTCTGGCTCCGGGGCTGGAGCTGCTCCGCGACCACCCGGCGCTGGTCGCGGGGCCGGCGGTCAGGGCGGCGCTTGCTGCATCGCGTTTGCCTGCGATCCGCCCTGGACGGCGCGCCTCAGTGGCAGCCGCGAGGTCCGGCCGTCGGGGGCTGGCGCGAGCGTGTTGACCTCGTGGGCGGCGGTCGGCGCCGCGCGGGCATCAGCACAAGAAAACAGGCAGGGGCTGGGAGGTGCAACAGCGGCCAGATTGGGCACTCTGCATGCATCCGGGACGACGGTACGAAGCTGGACCCGTGTGGTGGCACCCTTGCCTGGGAAGGTGTGACGTTGTCACGTCGTAATCGGACCCCAAACACACCCTGCCCCACTCCATTGGCTCACGCCAGCTGTACGTGGGGGCATTGGGGAAGCGGCAGCCCGCCGGCCGGCTGTTATGCGAGCGAGTGCCGCGAACGGACGGCCCTCTGACCACCAGGTGCCGCCGGTCTTGGCGCAGAGCGCGCGGCCGCGCTGCCCGCATCCTCGGAGCGCGGCTTCCTGTTTTCGGCACCGTCGACTGGCCGGTGGCGGGCGGCGCCGGCCGTCCTGCGGGTGCATGGGGTCCGAGATGAATTGCCCGGAGGGCACCGGTCGCGTCGTCCAAGGCATGAATTGGTGGGCGGGCGGAATGTGATGGCCTTTGGCTGGGTCTGTGCGTTTGAACGCGAGGGTGGCGACCTGCGCCGATGGCGCTATTGTCGGCACGACGCCATTGCCCGACGTTCATGGCGCGCAGGCAGAGGGACGCGTGAGCGCTCAGGGGGGCGGTGCTGTGGCCAAAAATTCGGCGGCAGTTGCTGCCGTGTGTTGATCGGGGACTGGTGCGTGATGGTGCTTCCTGATTGACTTTGCTGGCAATGCAGGGAGGATCGAGCTGTGAGCGCCGTCTACCCGGTGGTTCAAGGGTTCCTTTCGATTTTGGGGAAGATTTGTACTCCTTTCAAGGTGGCCCCTTCAGAGACCACGCTGCCAACTGGTACGGCGAATTTCCGATCGGTGCGAGCAAGTCGCCACTCCCGCGAGTTCATTTTGGCGTCATGCGCTCAGATTTGAGCACGGAGGCACCAAGCCAGAACGGGCGAGGAATATCACCTGAGGTGACATGGAATGGGCATCGCCCCTTGGCGGATTGTCGTCGAATGGAAAACCGACCAATGCGCGGCCATTGTCGACATTGGTGTTGCAAACATCACTCCATTGAGCGCCAAGTCCTTGTGATGTTTTCAACTGCTTCTCCTCACCGTCGTGGACGCCATACTTGGGTCACCTGTCCTTTTTGCGCATTTTGAGCTTTTGAATCGTGCGTTACCGGGGCCTCTTTGCGTCATTGCCAAGCGTGCGACATACTGTGCCTATTGATGGTGTGCCCTGCTGGGCCCAGTACAGAGAGCTCGGGCACAGTATGTCGCACAGACAGCGATGCACTTGTGTTTCCTGCATTCTTGCCAGCAGATCACCTCTTCTTGACAGCCATTCCATGTCAATTTATCCTGAGCAGCACCTGCTCAGTATGCACAGGATATATTGCCCCTTGTTCCCCTTCCTCAGCTTCTTTCAATGACAACCCACGCGACGTTTGTGGTACACACCTGCAATCACGACGTCTGGGCTGAAGCCTTCTGTAGAACGGTACAGTCTTATTTGCAACGGGCACGTTTTCTTCCTCTTCAATGTCAGACACAAAAAGATATCCAATTCTGACAAGTCAGTGGTTTCCACTTGTGTTTAGGGGGCAGCAACATTTCTGTACGACATCCACCTATGATAGTCCCCTCTGGCACAACGGCATATTTGCAGCAGTTTGACAAACGCATTGACTGCGGGTTTTGTTGTTATTCTTTTGCTCTGAACCTGCAGCTCCACCAAACACCCCTGACACGCCCATGCCAGAGATCGAAGCTGCTCTGTCGGAACTCTGGGCGAAAAAGGATGAGTGGGCGAATGTGTCGGCTGGTGAGAGGGCCAAACTTCTGGAAGCCTGCCTGACGCACGTTGTCGATGTGGCGAGGGAGACTTCCAAGGTTGGGACTCAGGCTCATGGGTCCTATGGCCTTGGACCCAATGGTGAGGAAATGCTGTACTGGTCATCAACCGTCCTGGGGATGAGCACTCTTCTACGTGCAATGCGTGCGAATGGGCAACCAAAGCCGATGACCCTGCAGCAACGTCCAAATGGACAGTTTGTTGCTGAGGTCTTCCCGCAAGGGTGCGCACAAAACCAGCCGTTTGTATCTAACATCTGCATATTTTGCTTGTCCCAAACTTGGTCAATCATACATTTTCAGTTGTCAAGGCAAATCAAGGCAAAGATAGATACGTTTTGCTGCCGCTTTTCTGCATTTATGACAGTGTGATGGCCAGTTGCTTGTTTCATTGCTGCTGACTGCAGTTTTGCGTTCTCATCTATCCTGTCCGGAATGCAGACCTGTAGGCACCAGCTGAGCACGCCCACAAGCATTATGGGTTGCTGTGTGAATGTGCAAGTGCAGTTTCTCACAGGTCCCATGCTTGGAAATGTTTTCCAATGTAGTCACCACAAGATTGGTGCTAATGCATGCACACCTTGCTGCAAGATTTGTGTGTAGTTCATGTCTCTGTGTATGCTATTTTGGACAACAGCTGAAGGACATGCATGCCATCCAGTGGCTTCCATTGACACCACAGAAAACACAGCCTTATGCATTATGCATTTGCACACACTGCATTCTGAAGTTGAACCACTGTCCATCTGTTTCTGCTTTAGGGTCAATGGACTCATCATGGGAGGAATGAAGGGAGAGGTGTGGATTCAGAAGGGCAAGCCACCTACTCAAGGCCGAATCTACAGGGATAAAGATGCCCAGAACGGGAAACTGACTGGCCAGGTTGGCCTGGTTCTAGGTATGGAACAAAGCTGGTGTTGTGCGACCCGAGTTACCTTTCCCCAAGTCTCCCATGAAGCTCACTAACAAGCTTACTACAGCAAATTACCAATACTGAGTTGTGTGCAGTGGACAGTTGCTTCAAGGGAAGGCAGCAGCTCCAAACACTGGAGTGCTGGTGTTGATTGGATGCCACATACCAGCAGCAAAATATCATTTCAATGGCCATTATATCCTGGTCGAAGGGTTATCAGTATAGGAAATTGTTTCCCTGCATTCATGATGGCTGTATGCTGCACCTCAGGGGCTGGGAATGTTGTGAGCACAACGGTCATCGACATACTGCACATGCTGCTGGTTGAGGACCATGTTGTGATTGTCAAAATGAACCCAGTCAATGCCTTCTATGGACCATTTGTGGAAAAGGCTGTGGCCCCATTCCACTGCCGTGGGTTTGTGAAGATTGTCTATGGTGGCGCTGATGTTGGCTGCCATCTTTGCCATTCGCCGATGGTGACCACCGTGCATCTGACGGGCTCAGAGCGGACGTTCAATGCCATTGTGTGGGGAGGGCAGCCGAAACCGGTGAGGACAATGCACTGAATAGAAACGGAGTTGGAGCTCTGTGGAGCTCTGCTGGGATGGCAGTAATTTGGGGTGTGAGGGATGGGAGCAGGATATGCAGCATATCTGTGCTGGCACCATCTTGAGTGTGCCGCATCTGTATTGTGCATGTCTGCATCTTTAGTGAGCCGGGGTAAAGAAATTTGGAAGATGGAATGGACTAGAATGGCTGTTTTGACTGCATGCGCAAAGTTGTCACTTTACAAGGACATGATAGTTCCACCATGTTGGCTCTTTCCAACAACACTCCAAGGCAACAGCGTGTCTGTGTGGCGTTGTTTGAATTTTTGCTGTGTGCCAGCAGGGAGATGGAAAGAAGCCACTTAACAAAGTCATCAGGGGAGAGCTGGGTTGCGTCACACCTTGCATTATATTTCCTGGTAATTGGACGGACAGGGAGCTTGAGGAGCAAGCAAAGGGTGTTGCAACAGGGCTGGTCATGAACAGTTCCCACAACTGCTGTGCTCATGAGGTGGGTGCCTTGATTACAGCGCCCACATCGTTGTGCAGGCTGCAGCTGCAACACTTTGCCTGGTAAAATGACTTCAACAGCATGGCATATTTGCTTCATCTTCCACCAGCATTCAGCTTCATGTTTGCTTTGGTATGGTAGTGCCTTCAGAACTTCGACATGCACTGCTATGACAGGGTTACTGTAGTCTCTGCAGCAGCTGACTTCGTCCTCCCTCTCCCTCCATGCATTGACATGCTTCTTGACACCAGCAAGCTGCTGTTTTGAGCTAATCACAACTCACTCACTTGCCCAGGTGATAGTCACGAGCAGGGACTGGCCCCAGCGAGGTGCATTCTTGTCCCACCTGCGCGCTGTCCTCTCAAAGGCGCAACGGAGAGTTCCATGGTACCCAGGTAGCAAACGGAATTATCAGCTGTTCTTTAAACAGTTTCCTGATGCGGAGAAGCTGGGGACAGGGGCAGCTGGAGAAGACGACGCCACAGAGCCTTGGGGCTTCATGTCTGGGCTGTCTCCCGATGAAGCTCAGACAAGAAGAGAAAACTGGTGTGGAGTCCTTCAGGTGGGCTGTCTGGATGATGCAAAATCTCGGCTACTGCTGATCCCAGATAGAGTGCTGTGCCGCTGTGCACCATGGGATTGGCTCTTGTGCTGTGCTGTGTCTCAAGATGCTGGAAGCGGAGGCTGTTGGCCCTGCGGTGCAGCTGAATACATGGAACCATCATAGCAGCGCCAGGCGTATTTCATAAGGAGCAGATGGCACTTCGTTTGCGGTGGGAGACTGGAGGCATGGGTGGAGCAAGGATGACAAAATGGAGATTTCTTGGGTGGCTTTTCATTTGCTGAACTCCTGCCTTCCAATGTGAAAGCAGCCTAATGAATTGGAATGGGAGGCCTTGACTTGGACATTGCGCTCTCATTGTCCACGTGCACTCCTCGCACTCCCCAGGGCCATTACTATTGGCCTCGTGTCCATGCACTTCGGCACCTTTGCATTGAGGGAATGGATAAGGCTGACATCAATATATCCAGTGACCCAAAAGGCGTGCCAATAGTTTTACATTCTGTCGCTTGGCACTCAATCACAATAGTGTTGTATGCTGCAGGAAGTGTGCCTGCCTGGCTGTGGCAATGATGTTGACAAGTTTTCCAGGGAGGCTGTTGCCTTTGCAAACAACAAGTGCTGGGGCACACTGTCATGCTCCTTGATAGTGCATCCTGCCACAAAACGTGCATTCCCCCGTGCGGTGGAGCATGCATTGGAAGAGCTCAAATATGGCACCATCGTCGTGAACGGCCCGGCACCAGTGGGGTTTGCCATTATGCCCTTGACTTGGGGGGCATACCCAGGTGAGTAGCCCGTCAGCCATTTTCTTTGCTGCAGTGGGATCTCAAAAAATTCTTTGGGTCTATTGACGAGGGAAGAATCCTGGGAGTGCAAGTACGCAGCCAGGGCGCTGCAAATACACATTTTAATACAAAATCGACTCATGCTCTCGTGATGGCATATAAGGTTCAAGTTTGAGATTCTTGGGGTGTTTTTGGGCATTTTTAAATTGTTTTAAGTTATTTCATATAAGATGTTTACTAATTTTAACGGTTTCCCAAGGTTTGGGGTGAAAGCCGGATGCACCTTTGTTCGTTGGATGACTGAAGCAAACAACCCCGATGCCACAGGAAACACCCTGGAAGACATCGGGTCTGGCAACTGCCTTGTCCACAACACGTACCTCTATGACCACCCAGAGAAGAGCGTGCTGCATGTGCCTTGGAACTTCTATCCCCCTTTCTGGCTGCACACGTTCTCCAACTTGGGGCAAGTGATGGAGCCTGTGCTGAGTTTCGTCGCCAGGCCCACCATCTACAGCTTGATGCGCATCATTCTCCCCGCCTGCCGATCTCAGAAGTGATGCAGCGAGGGCCTCTCCGGAGACGCCGAATGCGTTGAAAGATGATGGCTGGAGATAGGTGAAGCTTAGGCCTCAAGTTGGGGCAGTGCCAGAGTTGTTGGGTGACAGATGGTGTGCAATGCTGCCGAGTAAGAAGCGATTGTGGGGAGGAGTTAGATGCAGTTGCTGGGGTATTTTTCACGGTACGAAGCAGTTGAACCAGGTTGGAAGATGTTTCTCTTTCGCATTTCAAGCAGGAAGCCAAGAACTTGTAGGAGCCATTGCACATGTCGCTAGACGATGGATCATTCAGACGTGCAAATCGGCAGCAGCTGCCTTCATGCTGGCCAATAACCTATTTCAGCTGCGCCACCCTTGGGGACAGGCGACGCAGGTTGCTGCAGTGGTACGTATTAGGCAGGTGTCGGCCACGCACGGGAGTGTTTGTGACTATGTCGAAACCAGGAAAAGTTAGGCAAATTGATCTGCATGAGTAGCCTGGTGGGCTGTATTGGGCAAGTTTTCTGTATCCGACTATTTGGTGAGGGCAGCTGCGGGGCGGCTGCAGTGACAATAATTGCGCAGTCAGCATGCAAAAAATAGTGCAGCTGCGTGTCCAAGGAAATCATTCATGGAGCGCCCTCGGCTTTGGATTTTGAGGAGGACTGGCGTTTCGATTTAAACGTTGGCCGCGCACCACAACTTCTTGATAAGACGCCATGAAGGCATCGCCTTCACGTTCGCCTGTTCTGTACTGCGTTCGCTGATGTGATGAGATCACATTGCGTTGTGGTGTGTACAGTGCACTGTGCTCTGTGAAATTTCTTTCTGCGGCTTGTAGAATTCATTGTTTGGGGGCGTGTCCAATGTAAAGTGCGTATCTCATATTCTGGTGCTGATGTCCGATGCGTTGATGCGATTTTCAAGAAGTGTGCAGGTACGCTTAGAACATGGCAAGGCCCCTAGCCACTGCTACGCGTGGTGAGGGAACTTTCACACTGACAGAGTGGTTAGGGAGCAACCAACAGAATGATTCTGGCACGTCTAAGTCATAGAGAGTCCTATTAAAGATCAGCGGCTACAAAACTATCCGGCTCATCGATGCCTGTCGTGGACGGCAGGAATTCAAGTACTGGTCACATTCAGGTGCCCTTCTAAACCTTGTGGATGGAGTATTGCAGCATGCGACATTACTGGTAGCCTGAAAGGTGCACCTTAATCGGCGTTCCCTAGTTGGCAAGGTGTCTGACGTAACCAGCCATTCCACCAGTGTAGCAACGCAACTTCTCCAGCTGTTGTTTATCCAGCACCGTTTGTTGTGAGAAGTCAATCCGGCTTGTGTGTGGCCGAGTAGTCAACGTGTTGTTCGCGCCCTTAAAGCAACAAATGCGTGGTGTTATGCAGAAATTCCGAGGAACCGCTCCCAGAAAGTGGACAAGCATATTTTCATAGATACTGGAGGGCTGCGAGGTCTGTGAACACCAAGGACCCCTCAGCTACTTTTGCAGAACTGCGGTTCAGAAGTTGCGAAGTGTTGTGTCACCCTTTCCGGGTAATCTGACAGCATGTACCCTTTTTCTCCTAATGTTCACCCCTTGTTCCTCCGAGACTTCTTCCTTGAGCATTTGGGCAGTCCTTACAGCTGTTTGGCGTACGCTTGAAGCTAGCATACCGCACCACCACGTACCACACACTGCGGAGCAGCTTCGAACACACGCCGCACCACGCAGTACACACCCACGGAGTCTGCCCGTTTTGTCCGAGGCATGGACAAAACTGTGCCAGGTCCTCGACGAAAGCCAGACAGCCTTCCTGCCCACTGGCGCCGGCGCAATCGTCACGCAATCGCCGGGAAACGGGACACTCAAAATTCTTCTACATTTGCCCCTGGCGGCGTAAATTACACTGTGTGACACGGTGAAGTCACACTGCCTCCACGCGGCAAGTACAGACCCCCGCGGCGCGCCTGGCAGACCGGCGGGATTGATGGCGACACGTTGGAGTGCATTGCCCTGTCGAACGGGCGGACGCAGGCATCCCCTGGCGAGGCGCGCTTGGAGCCGGGCCGGCCGCGGGCCTGGGGTCCGCCCCTGCACTGCCAGGGCTGTGCCTGTGGTCGTCGCCACCGACATGGCCGACAGCATGGACGCCGCTCGACAAGTCCGCGGCTTGAGCAGGTGCAGCGGCGCAGTGTTTTTTGGGCGGCATGCGACCTCATTGCAGGGACGTTGGGTGTCATAGGGCTGTGGGGTGCGTCGGCAGACTCGCGGCCGATGTCCAGACGCTTAATCGAGCGTCGCTTGACGACAAAGAGCCTTGAATGAACAATTCAGTCCCCCGCAGCACGAGGCAGCCGAGGGAGGCGCCGTTTTGGCAGCCTCCATTCGAGCTTTTTGGCAAAATCTCCAAGGGTACTGTGCTGCTGTCATCGGAGTTGGTCGCTGAAAGCTGCGTGTCGCGGTGGGCAGCCATGATCGACTGATGCGGATGCTGTCGCCCGCGGTTCGGACCTCGCTGGCGGTGATCAACTGGCTTTGCGCGCCTTTCACCGTGCACCCTTCGGCAACCGTGCTGCCTATCGGTAAGTCGAATCGCTGCGAGCAATCGCCGATTGCTTTTCCAATCGATTAATGCTTAATCTGGGACCTGTGCCACGACTGGAGACATTTGTATCGCTCGCGTTCCCCTCGTTGCTTGAATACCAATGGAACAGATCCAACAGATGAAATCAAGACAATGTCCTGTGCGGTCCCATGAGCTGGAGTGCCTTTTGAGCGCAGCAGAAAGATCATTATGGTCATGTTGAGACAGACCTGGAGCTGCTGCACAGCCCCCGACTTCCCATTTATTTCCCATACACCTGATATTTGTGCACCCAAAATCTTTGGAAAAAGATGGGCCTTCTTGTGCTGTGTAGCTCCTAATCGTGGGATGTAATGCAGACAACATCTTGTCAAAATTTGTTCGACCAACAATGAAGATATGCTGCCAGCTGCACTAGCCAGCACAGGCCAATTGCAGGCGCCCTAACTGAATGGGGACACTATTTTACCGACTGGATTTGATGAGGGCAGTTGCTGAAAAAATCTGGTACACTTTGTTTGGGAGATGTTGAAATTGTGAAAATCTTCACATGCGCTGCAAAGTTTATCGTGGAACTTGCTGCAGTCCGGCATCCATACTGCTAAATATGTGAGGTCCTTGTTGACTTAAAAAACCCATCATTCTATCCGATCATGTGAACTCAGTGGAGACCCATGCCACGTCCAATCTGCTGTTGATCCATTCAATTTATTCGTTCAGTGGTATCCAAATTGATTCATAAGGACTGCAGACACCCAAGTGCAAACATCTGCAACCTGTGTTGTGCTTTCTTCCACATTGATGCTGGATGCAAGATGGTGAAATCTGTCATGTCTAGGCCAGTGGGGCTGTTTTCTTTGCCCATATGCCTATTCCATTGCTGGGCTGAACAAATCCATAACGAGTGGCTGCAAATGGATTGCTTCCTTCCATCGCAGTGCCTGACTGCTCAGTCCACAGGTGCGCCGGATATGCCTGCGACCCCCATCCGAGAGGTCGAAGCTGCCCTTTCTGAGCTGGACCAAAAAAAGCAGGAGTGGGTGGCTCTGTCAGCAGATGAAAGGGCTGACCTTGTGCAGCTGTGCTTGGACAAGGTTGTCGACGTTGCCAGGGAAGCTTCTCTGGCTGGGGTGGCTGCCCATGGGTCCTACGGTACAGGGCTGACCGGAGAGGAGATGATGAACTGGACGCCAGTAGTGATGGGAATGAGTGACTTTGTGCGTTCATTGCGCGCGCATGGCCAACCTGCGCCCATTGCATTGTGGCAGCGGCCGAATGGACAGTATGCTGCCGAGGTCTTCCCACAAGGGTAATCATTGAATGGCTTGCGTGCAAACAGTAGTAGGGTACAGAAAATGCGCTTCTCTTTCTTTACTTCACTCTTCTGGAACAAACATTTAAGCGCTGGTGTGTGATCTGACAGTGTTGCCCCACAGCAATGTTGCACTTCCATGGTATGGAGCTCGTGCTTTCGTGATCATGCACTAAATTTGAAAGTGGAATATTCGCTGCCTGGTGCTTTCTTGTGGGTGGTATAAGGACCGCAACTCTTCTTGGTAGCATGGGGTGCACACGGACTTTTAGAGGACAGCGATCTTCTGAGAACAATAACCAATGCTATGCAATGAAATGTACAATACCTCTAACATGGTTGGCAGATTTCAATTGAGGTGCTCAACATCAGGCCGTTGCTTGAGCCTGTCGAAGCTGCAGTATTACGTACCGGAACTCCTCATGGCGAGACATCTTCTCAGCGGAAAGGCTGTGTAGGGCGCTTTGAGCCATGCGGATGCCATGTGTCGAGTATCGCTGTCATTTTTTGGTACAAGAACTGTGCGGCAACAATCTAGAAACATTTTATCGAAAGCAGCAGTGCATGACACTGTTGGTCACAGTCGAGCCTCGAAAGCACATTGTGCGATTTGCACCTGTGCAATTGTGTATGGCAATGAAATACTCATATTCCTTGCATGCTTCCTTTGACAACGGTGCAGAAACGCGAACTTTTACGGCTCATAATCGAAAGCGATATAACCGCCCCAAACGCACAATACACATCAAGTCATAATTTTGGTTGGCGCATGTCGCACAGTGTACACTGACGAATGCAGCTTTTTCCCTTCCGGCATCGGAAACGCTTCATTTGGTAGAATCAAACTGACCTGGGTGCTTGCTCTCAAAATTTGTGCTCTCAATCCTTGAATACCAGTCGCCGAGACATAGTGTCGTCAGACCGTTTTAGACACACCGACAATTACTGTGTGCTCCCAGAATATACGGGGTACACGCACTGTGGAGGCTGCAAGACATCGGCGGACCTAGAGCCGTAATGACCACGTTATATCGACGGGACAATTGCAATCAAACAAGAATTCAGCAAGATGGTGGCAGTGTGAGGCTTGTATTGACGGTGTTCCCACCGGAACATATGGTAAATTGGAACGATACAGAGGAGATTGGCATGGTCCCTGGTTTGTGCTATACATTAGATTCCAATGAACTGATCATGGACACCGCTTGGTTTGGACAAAGTAGAAAGCTGGCGGCTACCTCCTAAATTAAGTTAAACGAAATGATGATGATGATGATGTCATGGCATTAGACGTTTTCATTTTCCTCCTGCGGGAAATGGACATGTCCTTTTGAAGGAGCGAGCTTATCTGCTGTTGTGAACGGCTGCATCTGAACTCTGGCTTGCCGCAGGATGATGGAATGCCTGTTCCCTGGAGCAAGAGGTGAGGTGTGGATCCAGCAAGGGAAGGAACCCACACAGGGCAGGCTGTACAGAGACAAGAATTCGACTGACAAGACGAAATCAGGAGCAGTGGGCCTTGTGCTAGGTAGGCTGGACAATAGCTCTATGAGAATCAAATTTCCATTTTTGCTTTCCGAAGGGCGCGCTGTGTGCTTTGGAGCCGGTGCTATGGTGTTCGATTCAAGCTCGCGTATAGAAGATGAGAATTGGCACACATGAGCATCTACAAATTCGCTTGCGGTGTAGTCCAAGGATCTGTGCAGGGAACCGATTTGGACTTTAGAATGCGCTGGAGGCAAGAGTTGATTTGCAATGGTGTGCATTGCAATCGACGTTGCATCTCAACAAAGGGCTCTATGGTGGAGCGACGCTGCAGCAGCCCCGCTCTGCCATATAGCTCCTTGTTTGCGCTCACTTATTTAGCCGAATTTTAGCGAGCCGATACCGCAGGCGGGCCATCTTGCTATGGAACTTTCGATACGATGTAGCAGCACATTGCTGTCGACAGTGCGTGCAATTGACAGTGAATGCGGATCAAATCTAGCCGCTACCAATGCTCCAGACAAAACGACATCGCAACCCTCTTGTTCTCGGGCTTGTTGATGCTAATACTGATGTACACATAGACGCACATGCACCTGCCTCTGCGCTGCATTGCTGTGATGCAACGAGCGTGCATTCCAAAAGGCATACGCGCTTGTCTGCGCCCAGCCGTGCTGGGATGCGCGACGACAAACACGAACTTTGTCAGCAATCATCCAGTGCTGGGAGGCTGGCATGTATTCCTTGCCTGCCGAATGAATTCGTGTCTTGTGTGATGTGTACAGGCGCTGGAAACCATGTGAACATAGTCATTGCCGACATTCTTCACATGTTGCTGGTCGAGGACCAGGTTGTCATAGTGAAAATGAACCCAGTGAATGCTTTTTATGGTCCCTATGTAGAGAAGGCCTTGAGCGCGTTCCACAGCCGCGGGTTTGTCAAGATCGTCTATGGAGGTGCTGATGTGGGCTCCTTCCTCTGCAAGAGCCCGATGATTGCGGCGGTGCACCTGACTGGTGCGGAGCAAACGTTCAATGCAATCGTTTGGGGTGGCCAGCCGGTGAGTCGAAAGTCCTGGAAGAACCGATGAACCACTGCCAATGAGTGAAACCACGGGTTGCTTCTGCCGAATCGTGGGATGTTCTGCCAATCCCGTTTCAACGCATTTCAATGATGCAGTCATCGTATTTACCCCGTATTGGTATCCACCATCCTCTTTGGCATACAATTACTGGCTGCACCAAATCGGTGACTTTTTGCACTAGATCGGTGACTGCTTGCACCAACTCCCTCCAAAACTTACCTAACCTAAAACCTAAACCCTAAACCGTAAGACTAAACCTGCCCTAAACCGAACTCTAACCTACAACTCACCCTAAAACTAAACCTAAACCTAAAACTGAGGTTAGGACATAGTGTTCACGTGATTTGGTGCAAGCAGTCACCAATTTGGTGCAGGCAGCAATATTATTTCATCCTCTTGCGGTTCGAATCCACGTTCGTATCCTCGACCCGCTGTCAGTATCCACCCCCAAACCTCAGCCAAAACGAGCCAAGGCGCGAATGGTGGGATGGTGGCGGCTGGTGTTGGGCCGCGCTGCCTAGTCTGGGCCAAACCGCGTTCCCTGCGAATCGCGCATCGACGGGGGCGATCGGTGGGGGGTCGATGCCAGCGAGGGAGAATTTGGAAGGAGGCCCGCAAAAGGCCACGGGGGCGACTGGCTGCCGTTGACGCTTTCAGCGCAAGATCGCCCGGCGGTGACCGAAGCCGCATGGCCCAATCAGAGAGGCGATCGAGAAATCAAAGTTGCCCTGGTTTCTGGATTGAGTCCACCTGCTCCTCATCCGGCCAGAGCGTGTTCGGGCGTGGTGCCTGCCAAGGGCACCCCAAGGCCCAGCGCCAAGAACGGGCAAGCGACGGTGCTGGTCGGGGTGCCCGCCGTCGTGAGACCTCACCTTGCAAAATTGCCCGCAAAATGCCACAAAGGGCCCGTCCCCAGTTCACACACTACACTGGCAGCCAGGCCACGACCCCAATTGCAGATCCCATCGGTCATCCCGGTCGGCATCAGCCTGGGAAAGCGCCGGGGGCAAAGCCTGTCATCGTGACACAGAACCCCCGCGTGTCGAGGCCCATGTCGATCCTGGTTCTTTGCATCGAGGAGGCAAACGCGCTTCGAGCATTCCAGCGAACCCCTGTTGGGCCCAATCGCCAACCTCCCCCACCTGGTGCAGCCCCAAGTCCGACTCCCGTGAAGAGGCTGACAGCTTTCAGTAAAAGGCACTGTCACTGACAATATGCAGTTGCCAATCGTGTGGTGTCTGTGATTTTGTAACTTTGACTTGGCGATGTTGCTACATATGTACTGCATCTTGCATTAATTCAAGCACATTTTTGAGCATTTCGCAGCCCATTTTTCAGAAATTTGCTTGTCTAAGTGCAAACTGACAAAGGCTAGACTCGAAAGCAGAATTGACGCTTCTGAAGGGCCGGCGAGGTTAAGCAATTGTGTATGGCCCAGGGTGCCGGCAAGAAGCCCTTGGACAAGATCGTCAGCGGAGAGCTGGGGTGCATAACGCCTTGCATAGTATTCCCAGGGCAATGGAGTGAAAGCGACCTCAAGAGACAGGCGCACAGCGTTGCCGCGGGAATGATTGGAAACTGCTCTCACAATTGCTGTGCTCACGAGGTGGGTGAGCCGTGTTGCAAAAACAGGGTTGCTGTTGCGCCCAAAGTAAATGCAAGATCAGCCACTCTCGTTTCGACGCAAGCAGAGCGAGCAGCTCAAAGCATTGCTTTACTTCAGGACTGGTCACGTGACACAGTCTAAAGGCGGTCACAAATGTCCGAAACGGTTCATGTCCGGACATGAAAGTAACAAGTTTCACGAAGGTCATTTTTCGGGTTGGTGCTTTTGCGTCTCTTCAGTTTTTTTGCACCATTCATCATCTTCGTACCCTGTAATGATAGGTATCGAACAAAGCTCAAGACGGTCGGCTGCGCTGTGCTTCTCTTGTGGCTGCAATTAACTCTTGGCATGGTGATTGAATGCGTCCCCCAAACAGATAATCGTCACGTCCAAAGACTGGCCCCAGCGAGCCTCCTTCATTTCCCATTTACGGGCTGCCCTGGCAAAGGCTCCGCGGAGGGTGGCGTGGTACCCCCGCAGCAGGGAGCACTACCAGAAATTCTTCGAAGAATTCCCCGGTGCGGAGAAACTGGGGACAGGGGGTTCGGGACAGGAGGACGACCCAACGTCCCCCTGGGGCTTTGCATCCGGGTTGTCTCCAGAAGAAGCGCAGACGAAGAGAGAAAACTGGTGTGGCGTCCTTCAGGTGGGCTTTGCGAGCACACTCGATGGATGGTACCATTTAAATGTCACCTCTGCGCTAGCCACAACGGTCGCCACACTAGCATGGCCAGTACTTCAGATGCACTAAATATTTGAAGACAAAGGCGCGTGCGCTGTGGTGGTGCTCAGCTTCAAGGTGTGCCTGCGGACAGCCTTCTTCCTGCGCTGGGCTCATTGCAGCACCCGCTCCCTGCCGCAGGAAGTGTGCTTGCCGGACTGTGGCAAAGACATCGACAAGTTCTGCACCGAGGCCGTGTCGTTTGCCAACGACAGATGCTGGGGCACCCTGTCGTGTTCTATGATGGTGCATCCTGGAACACAGCGCGACTCCCAGCATGTGGTTGATCGTGCTCTTGAGGGCCTTAAGTACGGCACGATCGTCGTCAATGGACCTGCGTACACAGGATTTGGCGTCATGCCGTTGACTTGGGGAGCATACCCAGGTGAGTGATGTGCCCGGCAGCTTTGGCTCTCAGATGCCCTCTCCATTCGCTTTTACAACTATTCACAGATGGAGGTGTGTTGGCCGCAGGAAACACTCTCGAGAGCATTGGCTCCGGCAATTGCTTCGTCCACAACACGTATCTCTTCGACCACCCCGAAAAGAGCGTGTTGCGCATGCCATGGGTGGCTCTCCCGAAGCCCTACTGGTCCCACTCCTTTTCCAACTTGGAAAAGACGATGGATGCCGCGTTGAGGTTCATGGCCCGCCCCAGCGTTGTCAACCTGTCGAAGGTCATTCTGCCTGCCTGCCGCTCAACAATGTGATCCAACATGCATCTGGAGTTGCGTCCCCAGCCGCAGGTTTGGTCAGTGGAAGCGGTTGGTTCATTGCGCAGTCCTGGCTGTTGGGCGCGTGGAAAGGACAGCAATTTTGAATGGCCATGCCGCACACTTTGTGGGCCGTTTTGCTCTTTTCTTGAGATGCTGTGATGCAACAGAAGGGCTAGGAAGTTCAGGTTGCGCACCCCCCGCAGTGGTCAGGTGTTCTCTCGGTGGGGCGACCCTGCTCCAGGATGCCTGACGCCCTTTGAACGCCGGCTGAAGATTAAGTTGGGGTTGCAAGCCGGCCCTACGCCACTATGGTCCAATTTTGCGGAGGACAATGCCGCCCAATTGCCACGCCTCCAACATTGAGCCAGCGATGCCTCCTCCCCGAGGCCCATCCGAGGCGCCGGTGTCGGCCTTCAAAGCTCTCGGGGCTCTTGGACGTCGCCCTGGCCAAAGGTGCCGGCAGGGGAGTGGCGTTTGCCAGCCGCGTGGCACTAACTGCGAATGCGGCTGGGGCGCCGCAAACAAGACACACTGACAAGTGACTGCTATTGTTCCCCATTTCAACTCCGTTGGTAGTTATTGCCATCAGAGCCTCCAAGCTGCAACGGCCCAAACACATAACAAAGCCATGGCGGTTGCCCGCGACACAAGGGCCTGGGACAAGCGACCTGAGAATCGCACCATTGCAGAAACAGCGTCTTTCGGCAAAGCGCGTCACAAAATATGCCCACATGTTATGGAAGGAATGCCACAATGCTCGTACATCGTGCCCTGCTTGGTACATCAATCCACTTGGCCCAAGGCAAACAAAACAGCAAACCCTGTGTGACATGCGAGTGCACTCGGATGCACTTTCCATGACACGTGCTCCTCTTACCCTTGACACTCCAGCCAATGGCGGGCTGGCATTGCCTTGCGTAGGTAGGAATTTATAGCATGCTCGCAGATGCGATAAAGGAAAAGAAAAAAGATAAAAACAACGGGCGTCCCCGGCAATCGCCAATTGTGCGTCATGAGCAAGTAAGCACCACCACAGTTGCAACGAGACGCACAAACAGCACTGCGTCTGGCGCGCTGTGTGGATGGCGCACAATTCATTCACAATAGCCACCAGGTTACAGCGTGATCCACTGCAGCAGAGCCACAAGCAAGCAATGAAGCACGTTGTGTCCGAGTGAAGCTGGGTACATGAGACAGCAGCTTGGGGAATCGAAGCTCGACTGCTGCTGCCACGCAAATTCTGCCATCACCCTGCCTTGGCACCAGAGAGCGAGTCCCAAACTTGCTGTCAATGGCCCCGCCTCTGGGACGTGGAAAACAGCAGAGTCTTCGACGCCTTCTTGGCTTTCTTGCCCGTTGCTGGGCCAGCCGCAGCGGCCCCCGGCGTGACAAGTTCAGCAGCGCTGACCCTGTGGCCGCTGGCCGCTGGCCAGCCTCTCCCTGGGCCTGCGCCCGGGCCAGCCTCGACCTTGCCACCGGGTGCACGCTGCTTGTGACACCAAACGTTCTGAGGACTGACAGAGAGGGTTGCACCTGGGGACGTTGAGAGCGCAGGAAACTTCACGTCCATGGGATTCGGTCCGCTCGAAGTAACTCCCCAGCCTGCACATCAGCCAGCAACTCAAGGCACATCCAGAAAACAGAACCAAATATATATTCTTTTAATTCCAAATGTATTTCTTATGTCTAAGAACGAGGGAGCTCCCCTGCAACTCTCAAAGTACAGTAGGATCCTTTTCCAGCAGGAGCCGATGTAGGATCCCAAACAAAAGGAAAGCAAGATACCAGCATTGTTCATAGATATATACAATGGTTTAGCAGGCACCTTTGCAGCTTTCGACAATGGGCAACAGAAGAACACCTCCGTCTGCACAGCGTCGCCGTAGGCCACAGCCTGGCACCAATCGAAACATTGTGGCCATGCTCACTTGCAGCAATTCCCATCTTGGTGATGCGAGCAAATGACACCCCTCCATCTTCAATGCAGCTACGCTCATCGCTCTCTTCCACTGCAGGCTCGGCCACGGATGAGCAGTTGCCCTGGCAGGGTTTGGGCATGGAACGAAACTCTTGGAGGCTGGGAGGCCGCGATTCCAGCTCTGCAGCGCGTGCAAGTGCTTCTTCCCTGGCACTGCGCTCTTGCTCTGCAGCCATGCGTGCACGGCGCTGCTCCTCCCGTTTCACAATTGGTTCAAGAAACTCGTCTGGAAGTAGATGGGACAGGTCGATTTCTGCAAGGTTGAAGGTGCCTACACAAATCGTGATGCTCGATACATCAAAAAAGTACGATCTCTAAACCATTGCACAGACGATCAAACACGTCCTGGGGACCACAGCTCCCAACATCGAGGTACGTTTAATCATTTGCATTGAAGACTCCCTCTGTGCTCTGAAAAACAGTGAATTGACAACACAGGGACTGCAAGAACATAGTCTCATCCTACACTCCAGTGTTGCAGGTCACAGGGGCACATTCATTCCATCTCTGCTTCACGTTCGTTAGGAACGCAGGTAATGGGTGTCACACGAGTGGACACTATCATTCTGACAATCATGGAAATAATGTTACAAAACGGTACTATAATATAAAACAATAGCACAGCCATATCACACTTGCAATATATCACAACAAAATGTTTAGCCAAAAATGACAATATAACTATTCTAGAAGTCTTACAGCAGCTCAGGGCTCACTGCCCTCCCTCCTTTGGGTGGGACGACATACCTCTGTTGGGCAAATGGGCAAGGTGTCTAAATCGCTTTCTTGAGGCCTCGTCCTGGGCGACATCTTCCAACTCGACAACCTTTCCTTCCAGTGTGGGTGGGCAGGCAAGGTAGTCGCCATACTTCTTCAGCAAACACTTCATGTTGACAGGGTGCAGGAACAATAACTGGCCATCTGCTGCCTGGTAGAAATAGTAATCCCCTTGTGGGTCCCCAGCACTTGGCACCAGCTGGTTTCCAGGTGAAACACCATGATGATCGCAGTCTTCGGTGGAGGCAATTGATGAAGATGACCTTGACTGTAATCCTTGGCTCCTGTCGTCATCGCTGCCTGGGTCAGCTGGCGCAAACAGGCAGGCGGTGGACATTCAGCGTGTTGTTACTTTTGGTGGGGATACAATCCCTGGGGCAACCTAATAAGTGGCACAACTTTTTGACCCTACCACACACCAAAAGCGCCTGGTACCGGTTCAAAGGCTCAATTCGCTTGTTGCTGTACAATAGTACTCGCAACTCAACAGTAGCAGGCTGCTCCTCATGATGCACACAGTTTTCACAGCATTACCAAATACAGTGATGCCCTCTAGCACTTGGCCATTCAACAACAATTTACTGTGGCAAACAGTAGCTTAGCTCCTTACCCAGTTCCCTGGTTGGAAACACGCTGCTGCCACTGGCCCCAGGCAGTGCAGGGAACAATTCGTCCAATACTGCATCTGCCTCTTGCTGCTCCCGTAGGCTTGCCGCACTGGCGACTTTGGCTGTGAACACCTGCAAGATGCCACTCCACAAGATGCCATTGCAACTTCTGGATACACTTGCCAATCTGTGGGAAATAAAAGCCCATGCACCACAAGGAGAAAAACAGAAACATTGCATCCCCAGTCTTCTGTCAAAAGAGCTAACACAAAGAAAACACACTCCAGAGTGAGCCATAATCCTACACATGCCTGGGCAACCAGGCATGCCACACAAAACTATTTCCACAGCAGCCCGTGAAACTCCCTATGCAGCAGCTGGGCACATGACTGCCATCAAAATAAGCGCCGCACAAGAGCTGCGATCAGGCGTTGCTGCTCGTCAACAAGAGTGTGCACTGGCTGTGTACCTCCTTGACTTCGCTTTCTGCTGCATGGCCTGCCTGCTCAGGCACCAAGCCTTCCATTCCACTGGCTGCCAACTTCTCAGCTCTAGCAGCTGTCCAAGCCCCTGCACGAGCTGCTAGGGCATCCATGGCTGCATATACAGCCTGGGCCTCATGTTGAGCTTCAGTGCCACCCTCAGACACCACCTGCAGCAGGACCACACAACTTTACAAAAGGAATGGATGTTCTCCTGGGATCAGCAAGAGTGTGCAATAGTCAAATAAAATACAGCCTTCGAAAGGGCGATGCTCTAAAAACCTTTCACAACTGTGACTTGAAGGGAACAGGCAACAAATATTACCACAAAGTAATGCCGCAAAACAGGTTTTCAGTCAACCATCTGATAGCCCCCACGAACAGCAAAAGGAAAACTCAATGTTGCCAAGGCAGACAGAGGCCATCAAATGGCAGCAGGTACATACAATACTCGAATTTATGCACAGCTTGATTGATTCAAATGCCCACACTTTGTGCAATGGCACAAAGTACGAATCTGACAATGGATCCAAACACTGCGCATTTCGCACTTCGACTTTGTATTCCGCGCCCACATCTGACTTTGCGGCAGTGTGGCATGGCAAGTGCACTTCAACAGCACAGGCTGCTGAATTTTTCACTTCTCGTGACTTTCCAGCATGGCTTGCCTTCAGGTTTGCAAGAAATGACACTCGTACTTCACAAACCCATATATACTTGTGGATTAAAGAGCCTAAGGCTGCATGCAGATGTTTGCAGCTGCTCCCACACGGACAAAACAGCGCACTGACATCCACCGCACTTGCCCATTACCTGGGCTGCATACTCAGCAAGCTCATTTGCCATTGCCCGCCAAAGGTGCATCGGGTCAGCGATGGTAGTGAACTTTGTGAATCTGGTGCACTCTCCCCGTTCATCCACAGATCTGGAACCATGGACCTTCTGAGGAATAATAGAGTTCTTGGGCCTCTTGAGAAGCTCAAATCTGACAGTCTCCCCAGCACGCGGGGCCTTGACTTCATGGATAACCACCATACGAAGCTCACGAGCTGCGATTTTCCTGAAACAGAATGGGCATGGTGCCGCGACCTTGAGCTGAGGGCCACCATGCACCAGAAGGAGTTGCATGATGCTGGGGAAGCCAAAAACGTGCCCACAGGGTGTCAGCTGAGGGCACAGTGGGGGGCTGTCCAGGGAAATGGGGCACTTCACAGGTGAGGTGACCTGCATCTCCACCTCAAAGACAGCACAGCAAGTTCAGTCAGCAGCACTTCCAGGACTTGTTTGACCCAGGGTGGCAGTGCCCCGGTGTCCAAAATGGGTTTGGTGCATTCAAGACAGCTCAAGCCTGCAGACTCGCTTTCAACACCCAGCCTGCTGCAAAGGCCTTGCAAGCAATGACAGGGGAATGTGGGACAACACGGGCATGCAGCAAGCTTTGCAGCAATACTTCTGGAAAGATTCAGAGTATGTTTTCAATTTTGAACTGCATTTTGCAGCATGTGCCTTAGCACTGATACAACACATCCCACCAAAAGGTAAGACCTCAGAGTTTCACAGACTCAGTTGGGTCCTCAAGGGAGCTCGCAGGTGTCCACAAGTTGTTTACACAACAACAGTGTGTCAGAAATCATCCTTGCATGTCCATGTTGTTCCAAATCAGTGAGAACTCACTTGCACAACATCCTCCCAATCAAACATGAGGTCTGGCTCTGCAGCAAACCGATTCACATCGACAGCATCTGCAGACACACCAAGTGTATTTCTCAAAAGAAGCACAGCATAAACTGGGAACTGTGAGGGTTGTGTGTGAGGTTGCATGCTGGTACCAAAGCAGTACATGTCATGGCATGGTGTGCGTGTAAGTCTGAAGGCACCATCAGCTTCACAACAGCTGCGCAGAGCAATGCAACACATCTACACCATGATTCTCCTGACATTCTTGCATAGTTCACATGCGTATGTTTTGGTGTCTCTTTCAGACAGTTTGCTGCACAAAAATGCATCTTTCCCAAAGCACATAAACATGTGTGGTGTTGTATGATCAGGGTCACAAGTTGGCCTGTAGGCATGCAACCACCCATTGTCCAAGCACAGCATGCCTGTAGAGTTTCAACTCTACACACTTTCTGCACAACTCACAAGACACAAGGCTCTGCAGAAGCACAGTAGCAAGGCACCACTGTGACACAACGGTGCAATGTGCAGTGATGCTGAATCACAAATGTAGCCCCACAAGGGGCATGCATGTCTCACAAACACACATGCACAGAAACACAGTTAACTGTATTGTGCTTGTGCACTGTTTGTCTATTGGTCAAAATTCAATTCCCTGATGCCTCCAAGACGGCAAGGGGACCCACCAGAGACCAAGAAACGGTAGTTGGCCTGAAGGAATTCATCCTTGTTGTAGCGCTGTCCATAACCGGAAGTCCTCCTTCGTGGGTTCGACGACTGACGGGGATGGGTGCCCCTACCTCTGTCAATCTGCATGCACACAATGAAAAACATCCTTCTCAAACAACTGATGGAACCCAGAGCAGGCACCTGAGTGCTCACAAACATGATCGCAACTCCTTTCCACAGAAAACTAGGTCTTGGCGCATGGCTCTCCTCACCTGCTCTGCATCTCACTAGTCGTATGCTACGTAGAAAACGCATAGAATCACCGGATGAAGTCTAGGGGGCCCAGCGGCAATAAGTGGCGTCCACTGTGTGTGGAAGGAAATATCACATTGAGATAGGGGATATGAACAGGTGTGCATTACGAGTGTGGTGAGGATGGAATGCTTGCAGTGTGGAACACTGCTACACAAGGACCATTGCTGCTGAAAGTTCCCCCTTTTCAGCCACACCCACCATTTGCTGCCAGAATGGAGCTGTCAGCAGCAGACCTCTATTGTTGCACAACACGCTTTTGCCAAATATTCAAGCCTATTGGAAGCTGAGTGGCCGCCGGACAGACGCGAAAACAGCCCATGGAGGGGGACACAACCTCTTTCAGATTCACCACGCACCGAACGGTCAAATTTGAAGCCCAGTAGGTGGTTTGCGGAAACGTAGGATCTTTGGCTTGAGCCGCGGGTGTGTCGACCACTGGATGCTCTGCTCGGAGCGCTCAGCGCTACCGCCACACTTCCAGACCTGTCAAGCGACAAATGCAGCCTCAGTCCCACCAACTCGAGCATCGACAGCCAGCGCAAAACCCAATAGCCTCCCAACGCCCAGTGCCCTGGACGCAGAGAACCTAGCCGACCATTTGCGGCAAAACGCGGGCGGACAGGTTCATTCAGGACGCCAAAGGCCCCGGTACCAGCACATGATGACGGGAGTGCGGCAAAAAGAAGATTGTGCCCGACGGTACCGAACTTCTCCTTCGTGGGACTGAACTTCAGCACTCACCCTTGTGCTCGAGCGTCGCCGTCGAGTCCGTGGTAGTTGACGCCGCCGGCGCGCACAACCTCTCCACCTTCCGTCGACACGGCATTCCCCCGCTGAGCCTGCCCACCGCCGCGCACGCCTCAGGCCACTCGCGCATTCCAAAGCGGCACCAGGGAGCATATGCCACCACGACGGCCGCGGACGCGCAATCCGGGCCGGATATGCCCTGAAGGGCTGAAGCGGCGATGGCCGCCATCCGCGCGCCCGCCCACCTACCCTTCCATTCCCGCGCCTCGATCCCCGGCCGCGGTGCTCAGTGCGCCTCTGGGGGGAGCCTCCTGCTCACGGTGACCGGGGGGTCAAGGGATGCCGAGACGTCGAAAGGAGCACAGCAAAAGCGCTGCCCCTCAGGCGCGCCAAAACGACAGTCAGGGGCGCAAGGTGGCCATGCCTTGGGAGCGGGGCTCCGACAACATGCCGCCGCATCTTGGCAGCTGGTCCAGCCGCTCCTGACGCTGCACTCGGTCAGAACCATCTGCGATGTCTTCCGCGGGAGCCAAACGATCGTCCGAGACTGCTTTTGGGGTGACAGTGTTGAAGGGCCCTTTGCTCATCCAGCAAACAGGGTGGGCTGGCGGGCTGCCAGAGCGGTCGCACCGCTCCCCTTATGGCGCAGGGACACCGGGCAGAGGGGGCGGTGGAGTGGGAAAACAGTGCCCCCGCCTCGAACGCCGAACCCCTATGGCCCTGCGCATGATCCGTTGACTGAATGGGCGCAATGGAGAGTTTTGGGCCATCAACCAGATCCGTGGTGGTGGCCCGTGGATATTTCATCACAGTAGTGGCAAATACTCACTTTTTGTTTCTGTTCCCACTCGCCTTCTTGCGAGTTGGAAGAATGCGTCTTTCGATGTATTGCAATCGACAGTCATTCTGCGGGACTACGAAGGACTGGTGGATTGCGGATTTCGCTGGTGCAAACAATCTCGAATCCCAATGACAAGGTTATGACGCCGCTTTTCACTCGCAAGTGGGGACCCAACAACTACCTCCTTGCCTTGGCCTGCTGTGTTTCTTGAATCACAGGCGCCCAAAGTATGCGGCCGTACGGCTACCACTAGGATCGAGTTTCTGCACGCGCTGAAATCCAAGGTTACACAATGCGTTGTACTTCTCCGAAGTACAGGACGATTGGGGCGTACTCCTTGTAAATTCCTGTTTGAACATTGGAAAAGATTTATTGCACTTCGCCACCACTTAAAAACAATGTGAACTTTTCGCTCGCACAAAACTTGACATAGTGGACAGTTCCAATTCCAACCCAGTTTCAAACACTGTACGCATTTCTGCCAACCGCACCAGTTTGGCAGTGTGCCGATTGCTGTGGGTCTTGGCGAACAGGTCATCAGTGCCTTGGTGGTGCGATCGTCATTCCATCTGGGCCCATGGCTTGGACCAAATGTTCATTTGTCAGAAACAATGTGAAGCACTGTCACTTGCACCTGCAAGGTGACGTCGTGCGGTTTTCACAGCAACAGGCGTACTCCTAACTAATGGCGATCGTGTTCCCAAATAAAGGACCCGAAGGAAGACCAGAGCGCCAGTGATTTGGACCCATTCGGGCTTTAGCTTGGAGTATTTACAGCACATATTTGTTTGCAGACAAAGCCATAGCAGGCTTCCTATTCACCATCACTCCTTCATTCAGCCCCACAAGATGGCCAAGAGAGTGAGGGGGGCACTGACACGAAAGCACGATACCACAATACCAGGATCGGTGATGGGAGAATGGTCGCATGTGACTTTTGCACCTGGCTTCCAGCCTTTATGGGTAAGACTCCTCGCCCTCTAGAATGCAACATTGGTCAATGTGTTCGAAAGACTCGGCACTGAGTCTGGTACTTCAAAGCTGGCTGCACCACAATGGGGTTGCAAGCTTTGGGTTGAGAAGCAAATCGATGCGTCTAATGCCCCTGCTGCCGCAGCTTGTGCCAGTCCCTGGACTCTGAGCAAGACAAGGATCTGCACCATGAGGCAGGTCCTGGCATCACACACTTTAGCTGCCAATTCAATGCACGACAGTTTGGAGAAGGGTGAGATCTATGCCACGATATCAGTGGCCCTCCCCTTGCGGAATTTGCAGATTTGGCTGAGCACCAAGCTTCACAAGTGTCCATGCCATCACATAGAACTGTGGAGTGCTCGATGGTCAGACAGACAACCTAAACAAGCTCAGACTCCTGATTGGCACCCATGGCATTGAACTGTGCCTTACACCACGGGCTCCTGACTCGATTCACTTTTGTGTTTCCAAATATGAGGAGTCGCAGCGAGTGAGCACATCAAGATGGCACCAAGGAGGGCGTTGGTCGATGCACCCGAAGTTCTACGTTTTGGGGTCGATTTGGTGACACCCTCAACAAGTCCAGTTGGTCAGTTGACATGCTGCTGCCACATACAAGGCACGTCAGCATTACCAGGAAGACTCTGCTGCACACAACAATATGGTCCGCTTTTGATCTTGCAGCAGTATCAGGACCTGCAGCAATTTCATCTGAAGATCTTGAAGTTAATTATTAATTCATCTTGAAGATCTTGCCGGGATCTGCTACAGGAGAGGTCAGTTAGCTTTCTTGTGGAGCTGTACCAATCACCACTGATCCTTGTCGAAAATCCAATAAAAATACCAAAGTTCGTGTTGGCAAATCTGCAAACAACTGATGCTCTCCACAGCAATTCTATCACTGGCACCAAAGTGCCTGAACTCGATCAAAACTGGAATCTCATATCTTTCGAGTACCCCAAGTCATCCAGCAACGTGGTCATCGCTGCGGTCATTGGACTTGGACCACAGTACAGCATCAGCACATCATCACCAGGTGGTGGGCAATTGTTCTTAATCATGTCTCCTGAGATGTAGCCCTTGCCTTGGTTCCAGCCGCTGGGTGGGTTGTCAAGCGTGTAGTACACATCAAACCTCGTAGGGTACTTGGACACCAGCTGCTCCAGGTTCTTCTTGAGCAGGATGTCCTCAACCGAGATGTTGGCATAGATGAGGCTCACATGGGTGGTGTCCTTGGGGTCGTTCAGGATGTGGTTCAGGACCTGGTACATGGGCGTGATGCCCGTCCCTCCAGCCAGCATTCCTATCCGTGATCCCACCAGGGGTCAGTGACACGGCCCACAGCACCAGAACAACAGCAGAAGCGAGAACAAAAGCTTGGGCCCATGGGTCAGCGACCCGGCCCAAAATAAGGGCGACCGAAAGCAACAGCGGAAAGAAAAGTAGCAAACGACTTAAGACAGGGCAGGGAGCAGCGATAAGGGAGGCTCTTTGACAACCTCGAAGCAGGCTGACGGGCACCGGCACGATCCCAATGACCCCTTATCAGGCTCCAATTTCGATGCTGCGCCCTGAGCGCCCTCCCCCCCAATCCACCGCCCACCTATGCTCTTCTTCATATTCCGCTTGTACGTAAACCTGCCCTTGGGCCCCTTCATCTCCACCCTGTCCCCCACTTCCAGCTTGTCCAAATGCTGCGACATCTGGCCGCCCTTGTACACCTTTATGACGAAGTCCACGTGCCCCTTGGTGTCCGCGTCCGTGACGGGCGTGTACGGCCTGTACACCGGCTTGTCCGTCTTCGGATCCGTGAAGGTGAACGCCACGTGCCGCCCTATGGTCAGCCCGAGTGTCTGGTTCGCCTCGGGCAGCTTGAAGCGCAGGAACAGCGTGTTGTGCGTTACGTTCCGCTTCATCGACAGTGTCAGCGGCTGGTACAGGTCGGGCATCAGGAAGGGGCGCGGCGGCCGCGTCGCGAACCAGTACACCTGGATCGCCGCGATGGCCACGAAGGCCACCACGAGGGCCACCAGGTTGTCGTTGAGGAACGTCACGAGCCGGGCGTCCATCTGGGGCGTCTCCATGGCGGTCGGGCGCCACAGGCCTTGGGGAGGGGGCTTGAGGCGGCAGGGGGGGGCCGAGCGCAAGGGGCCCCCGCCCTGGCTTTGTGGGGATGTCTGTGACGTCTGGATGGGACTGC